TGGCTGAGGGAGTGCGGAGCGGAGAGCTGCGCCCAGGCGGTGGCCCTGGCCGAAGGCTGCCTCCTCGGCCCCGCAGCCGCCCCGGAGCCCGGAAAGGGGCAGCAGGTGAGAAAAGTGTCATCCTTGGTGTCCCTTTGAAGGGTGGGTGGGGGGGCGTAATAATAAAACATCTAGCAGTGTCTCTATGAAATCACACAGAAGACATCCATGCAGGATTTTCTGAAACTCCTAATACGTTAAGAATTTTTTTCTTGATGCAAATGCTTATTTTTCCTTTTGGAGTTAATTCCATAGAATGAAAGAGACATTCAACCCCTTCTTCACCCTGCATTTCTTTCCTTTAATGCATGAATGAACTGAATCATTTGTTCCATATCAGCTGACATTCTTTAGACTATTCATTTTCCTTTATGATATAACAAATCTTATTTCGAAGTCCTCCAGTCCTCTTTCTCTTCTTTACAAACAGCCGGTGGGAACATACATCTAGAGAACATAGGTTGGTATGGTGTAGTGGTCTGTGGAAATGATGTTAGGGGAATGGTTGAAGATCTATACTGAACAACCGAAGTTTTTCAGTTCCCATAAGGAGATGGTGTGCATCTTCCTCACAAAACTATCTTGGTGTTCATTCCAAGGTCTGTCCCTGAATTACATTGCTGTGTCTCCCTACTCAAGAGCTAAATATTATTAAATATAAAAGAAAAGACTCCTGATGGAAGAGATAGAAGAGGCATAGGTACATCCATAGGTACAGCTTTGGAAAGGCCAAAACTATCAAGGAGACAAGTAAAGAAACAACTAATCAGAATGATAATAGGAACTAAAGATAGGCAATGAAACATTTCACAAAAATCTTTTCAGATGCAGGAACTGTTCACCGGAGAGATCTCAGCAGAGCTACAGGAAAGAGGAAATGGATGCAGTCCTTCTCAAGAGTTGCTTTTCAGCAGGTCCCAACTTGGGCCATTTCAGCAGGTAACTCTAGGTTTCTTCTGAGAGCAGCAGAGTTCAAGCTCCCTTCCTGAGCTCTTCTGCAGTACAGCCAAATGCTGAGTCTATGTAGTTGAACAGTCTCTACTCCCCACCCACCCAGCCTTATTCATCAACTCTCAGATCATTTTGGAGACACAAATGAGACAACTTGGAGTCTGAGAGGTTTGTGTTAGGCAATGCATTTGCTGAATATTTTGTAATACTTCACAGAAGAGTGGAGAAACCAGTTTAAAAACCCCAGTTAAAATTATTGCAATAGCATAATAACTGCTTCAGAAATATTGTGTCTTAAGGGCAGATTTCCCATTAAAAAGCCCTAAGATCAACACTAAATAGCTGTATCAGTAAGACTGTTCTTTAAGTGTCCTTGATTTCCAGGCCCTTTTGAAATAGGCCATGGAATAAATTCCTAGTCGCTGTGTCCTGTTTTATATAAAGCATGTAGAATTTCCTCCCCAAGTCAGGTGAGCCTCTGGATTCTACTTTCTAAATCCCACTTGGGAGTAATTCCAAACCAGCAGGAAGCAACCCAAAGGGTGCTGTGTTGCTATTCAGCAATTTGGATGCAGTCATGTTTTGTGAACTTCAGAAGCCCAGCTATTAGGGCAAGGAGACTGGCGGCTTCATAGTCACAAAACCATGTGGACAACCAGAGGTACATTTGTTTTATAAGCAAATGCTCATTTGGTTTCTTGTAAAGGTCTGTTTTGTGTAATAAGAGAGAAAATGTCTTTTCTGGGATTGTCTATTAAAGAATATTCTCATTCTAGGGCTCTAATCCCTTTGAGGAAGTCACTGTGGACTTCACAGAAGAGGAGTGGATGCTGATGGATTCTGACCAGAGAGTCTTGTGTAGAGAAGTCACATTGGAAGCTTTTAGGAATATTATTGACCTGAGTAAGTCCCTACTTTGTTCTGGGTTCCATTCATTAGGGAAGAAAGGGTTTTTTTCAATGGGGGTGGTGGTGGTAAACAAAGACGATACTTGCAGTCAAGTTGCTTAAAGTGATACATCTTAAGGCCTTGTTAGAAAAGCTTACTATAGTTTTGGGGAACACCTCAAATTGTCCACTCAACAACAAAGTCTTAATGTGGATCCCAGCTGAAAAATCTTTTGGATATCATCAGAATTTTCTAGCTTACATTTTGCATCCAAGACCTCCAAGTTGAATTCATAGCTGATGCTATACCTGGAATGCAGATGGAGCATGTTTTTCGAGAAGATCCCTCCTTAAAAGCTGTTCCCCTCCCCCTAATTTTATTAAGGATTATCTTAAAAAGTTAAAACATATAAATCAGTGTAATGCAAAATAAATAAGAAAGAAAAGGAAAAAAAATATTTGGAAAATGCAGAAACACCCTCATACCTAAATTTGCATGTATATGAAAGAAATTTCTCCATCTCCAACAAGTATGTTTAACATTAACAACTTATCTATCAAAACACAACCAAAATACCTTTTCATTCCATGTGTCAACAATATTCTATGAACTCATCTCTAAATCTTCAGATCTCCTTAATATTCAGAAAAGATCCAGTAAAAATTAACAAAAATATCTAATAACATAAATACTTAATAATATATTTCCCACTTCCACTTAGTCTCCTTTTGCTCATTCCTCTTTTAACAATTAAACTTTGCAAAAAAGGAATTAAAAACTTATCAAATGTTGTCAACTCCTAACTTCTTCCTCCCATCTATCATTAAATCCCATATTTTTTCCTATATTCTTTTCACTCCAAATTCTTATCATCCTTCAAGTTCACTTACAATTTCCTTGAAATAACTCCAATAAATCTCTTATATTTCAATTTAAAATGGTATCATTCACTTGCATTTATAATTCCAGTGAAGCCTTGTCAGTTGTCTCCAGAGAGACAACTGTTGTTAGTTTTAGTTACTAACTTATGATTCCAGTAAAGAGAGAAAAGGTTAAAAGCATGATGGAACCTACAACCTTTAGCTGATAACAAGTGTCTGCAAGAATTGACAGCTTTTGCTGTTAGCTTACAAAAATTGGCAGTATAAAGTATAAATGGGCAATCTCCAGTTCTCTCTTTCATCAAAAAGTTTCGGCAGTCCAAGCCTGACATCCACCTGCCGGTTTTGGTGAAATCCCCAAGAATTTCCTCACCTCATGAAAAGTTATCTTGCCCTCTCCTCACAGTTCTAAATTTCCATAGAAATTTCTATTTGCTTCTTTCCAAGCAGGTGATGCAATGGAGAAGGAGAACCAGGAGTGGTTAATGTCGCTGCCAACAGCAAACTATGAAGGAGAAGTGACATTTGACCATCAAACAAATCCAAAAATACAAGAGGAAAGCCACTCAGAAGGTTGGGTGGAAGAGCCCTCCACATCTCATCATTTCTTTTCTCTTACTTTACCTGAGAACCTTAATAGCAAACACAAACCACAAAGTATTGTGAACTTGGGGGAAGATTCCAGTTGGAGTAGAGAGACTAAAATATGCACAAAATGTGGAAAGAGCTTTGATAGTAATGCTAGCCTTAATGGCCATCAGAGGATCCACATAACTGAGAAACCATATAGTTGCGAGGAATGTGGAAAGGGCTTTGCTTCGATAGGAAAACTTAATTCTCATAAAAGGATGTACATAGGAGAGAAACCATATAAATGCACAGAGTGTGGAAAGAGCTTCTGTAACAAGGCTAGCCTTAATGGCCATCAAAGGATTCACATAACTGAGAAATCATATAGCTGTGTAGAATGTGGAAAGGATTTTGCTTTAATAGGAAAACTTATTGCTCATAAAAGGATTCACACAGGAGAGAAACCATATAAATGCACAGTGTGTGGAAAGTGTTTCCATTTCAGGCCTAGTCTTATCCGCCATGAGAGGATCCACAGAAGGGAGAAAAAATATAGGTGCAACAAGTGTGGAAAGAGATTCTTTGAGAATAGATCTCTCACTATCCATCAAAGGAGTCACACAGGGGAGAGACCGTATAAATGCCTGGAGTGTGGAAAGAGCTTTTTTGAAAACAAAGGTCTTACTCGTCATCAAAGGATCCACACAGGGGATAAACCCTATCAATGTCTGGTGTGTGGAAAGAGCTTTAGTCAGATAGGACATCTCAATTCTCACAAAAGAGTCCACACAGGGGAGAGACCCTACAAATGCATGCAGTGTGCAAAGAGCTTCCGTTCCAAAAGTTCTCTTAATCGCCATGAGAGGGTCCACACGGGGGAGAGAAAATATAGCTGCAGTGTGTGCGCAAGGAGATTCTTTGATAACAGAACCCTTGCTGTCCATCAAAGGATCCACACAGGGGAGAGACCCTATAAATGCCTGGAGTGTGGAAAGAGCTTTATTCAGAAAGGACAGCTTAATTATCATCAAAGAATCCACACAGGGGAGAGACCATATAACTGCATTGAGTATGGAAAGCAGGAAGAACATCTTACTCAGGAAAGAATCCACACAGGAGAAAAACCATATAAATGCACAGAATGTGGAAAGAGCTTCTTTAGCAAGACTGGTCTTAATGGCCATCAAAGGATTCACATAGCTGAGAAACCATATAGTTGCACGGAATGTGGAAAAGACTTTGCTTTAATAGGAAAACTTAATTCTCATGAAAGGATTCACACAGGGGAGAAACCATATAAATGCACAATGTGTGAAAAGAGTTTCCATTTTAGGGGTAGTTTTAATCGTCATGACAGGATCCACAGAGGAGAGAAAAAACTTAGTTGCCAGGAATGTGGAAAGAGATTCTTTGAGAAGGCAGCCCTTACTATCCATCAAAGGATCCACACAGGGGAGAGACCATATCAATGCACAGAGTGTGGAAAGAGCTTTTTTGACAACAAAGTTCTTACTCGTCACCAAAGGATCCACACAGGGGAGAGACCATATAAATGCCTGGAGTGTGGAAAGAGCTTTACTCAGAAAGGACATCTTAATTCCCATAAAATAACTCACACAGGGGAGAGACCCCATACATGCACAGAATGTGGAAAGAACTTCAGTTTCAAAAGTTCTCTTAATCGTCATGAGAGGATCCACACAGGAGAAAAAGCATACCCGAAGGCAGTGTGGGAAGAGATTGAAAACACAGCCCTTACTATCCATCAAACTATCCACCTGGCATAAACTATAAATGCCTGGAATGTGGAAATAGGTTTAGTCAGAAAGGCAAACTTATTTCTCATAAAAGAATCCATATTATGGACAGGCCATATACAGCTAGTCCTCAACTTACAACTGTTCATTTAATGATCATTCAAAGTTACAATGGAAAAATGAAATAAAAGGAAAAAAGTGACTGAGACCAGTTTTCACACTTGTGACCATTGCAAAATCCCCATGATCATATGATCAAAATTCAGATGCATGGCAACTGGTTCATATTTATGACAGTTGCTCTGTCCCAAGGTCATCTGTTCCCCTCAATGGGGAAGCCAGATTCCATTAACCACCAGCTTATTAACTTGCTAACTGCAATGATTCACTTAACGGTGGCAAGAAAGATCGTAAAATGGGGCAAAACTCACTTAACAAATATCTAAAATAAATTTCCATTTGATAAGTTGAGTATCTGCATTTATGATTCTTGCGGCATCCAGGGTCATGTGATTTCCATTTGGAAATGCAACAAGCACAGTCAATTGGGAAGGCAGTTTCACTTAACCATATGTATTAAGTGAAACTGCTTTCCCACATTGACTGTGCTTGTTGTAAGTTTCCAACCATACCTGAGAACCGCAGTGATTTGATTAACAATTGTGGCATAAAAGGTTGCAAACTGGGTCATGAGTGACTTAATTGCCTTACTTAGCAATGTAAATGTTGGGCTCAATTGTGGATGTATGTTGAGAACTACCTGTATTACTGTCCTTCACTTTGAAATGTGAAAACACTTGATTTCATTAACTGATTTTGTGGGTGGGTGGGTGGGTGTTTGTACCCCATGAGCAAATTATATTCCTCTTGAAGACTTTATAACTCAGTGTTTAGCCACTTATAAACCAGAGTTTGTAGCTACTCTAAATGTGATTTTGAACCATAAGGAATGTCCTTTTTTCAGTGCTCTTTGTATGGATTGGTGAGTATATCACATTATTGCACTTGATTTCATGATTATGGAGGAACGTTCCAATGTTCCACTTTATTTTCTGACATTAATTGTCAAAAAATGCAAGTGGTGTGTTTCCTCTAAACTTGTTTTAATCCTGAGAATTACAAAGTCATTGGAGATGTTAAAATGTATACCTGCATAGGCCAAATAGCCAAACAAGACTGGCACTCATATTTTAAAGAATGTGGCCTGGGCCTTGACACATGACACTGTATGCAGCAGATTAGCTAATAAGATTGTATTGGACTGGTGGCATTCATGGTTTTAAATCTGTCCAAACTCCTGATAAGGAATTGTTACTATTTCTTAGCTGCAGGCAACAAAGGTTCATTTGGCCTCAGTACAAGAAATTAAATAACCAAATCCAATGGTCTTATTGACAACTAAAAAACCAGGAGCACAGTTTTTTCTGGCATGCAGTTACACAGAGTAAAATATAACAATAAATACATTCAAATATTGGCCGTGTTTGCTGTAAATCTAAGTTTTTGTCAGGCTTAGAAGCCATCTTTGTGTAGGGCCTCAAGCCTGCCACATATTCAAATATATTCTATTGTGGGAAACTGGGAGGGTGTTTTTTTATGAAGCATGGGAGATGTATAGCCAAAATAATAATCTTTCTCAGAAAGTCAAGATCGCCTTGTCTTTGCACCTGGACGGGTGTGAATGGGAGGAATCTTCCTTCGTGGCAATGATTGATTGGACCATGTGATAGACTTGTAGATGTTGGGGCAAGGTCTTGAACTTTCAACTGGGTGGGATAACCTGGAAGCTTTCAGATTCAGGTTTTCACAGATGTGCTAATGACACCTCTGATAAAATGGAACTTTGAGGAAACTCAGACCTCCATCTGCTTTTGTTAAGGGTGTTATTTGGAACCCTGACAGTTTTAAAGTCTGTTAATGACACCCAAAAGAGCCATAAGCTGCTTTGTATGAAATTTCAAAGTTATAATGAAATAAAATGAAAGTAATTTAGACCAATTTTCATATTTAATAACTGTTGCAACATCCCCATGATCACGTGATCAGAATTGAGGCACTTGACAACTGACATGTATGATGGTTGCAGCATCCATGGTCATGTGATCTCCATTTGTAAACTTCTAGCAAGCAGTTAATGGGTGAAGGCAGATTCACTCAACAAACATACGTATGGTTGTTAACTGAGCAACCATTCTTCAAAATTGCAGTGATTTGCTTAACTATTGTTGCATAAAAGGTTCCAAACTGGGGCACGATTCAATTAACTGTCTTGGCAACAGGAATATTGGGTTCAATTGTGGATGTCAGTTGAAAACTACCTGCATTACTGTCCTTCCCTTTAAAATATCAGAAGAGTTGATTCCATTAACTGATTTTGTGTGTGTGTGTTGGGGGGGGGTATTCCTAATGAGTAATTTTTTTCTTTCTTGAAATCTCATTAATAAAGCAGAACTTCTAGCTATTTTGAACCAGGATAGAAGCCGTGTCTTTTTTTCTGTGCTATATATTATTGCATTTGATTTTGTTATTATGCAGGAATATTCCTATGTCCCAGTCTATTTTCTGAGGATATTAATTATCCAAATATACAAGTATTGTTTCTGCTGCACTAGTTTTAATTCAGATAATTAGAAAGTATTTGGAGATGTTAAAATGCAGACAAGAGAAATAGTCAAACAACAGCTTAATTATTGTAACAAATGTTGTTTGGGCCTTGACTTATGAACAGAATTGAGCCCAAAATTTCTGTTGCTAAGTGACAAATTTGTTAACTGAATTTTGTCCCATTTTATGACTTCCTGCCACATGTTAGGCAAATCACTGCAGCTGTTATATTAGTAGCCCTGTTAAGTGAATCTGGCTTCCCCATTGACTTGGCTTGTCAGAAGGTTGCAAAGATGATCGTATGATCCCGAGATGCCACAACAGTCATATCTGTGAAAACTGGTCATAAGTCACTTTTGCTGCTGCTTTAACTTCAAATGGTCACTAAGTTAAGTGGTTAAGAGGACTACCGGTATAACACTGTATGCAGCAGATTAGCACATAGGTTGTAGCGGACATGTGGCATTTATACTTTTAAATCTTTACTAAAGTCCTGATAAGGAATTCTTACTATTTCTTGGCTGCAGACAACAGAGATTCATCTGGTCTCAGCACAAGAAATTAAATTACCAAATTGAATAGTCTTTTAGACATTATTATAAAACATAGTAGCCTGCCACTCAATGCTGCTCCTATTCTTTAAAACCTGCTGCACAACAGACATAATTTTTTATTTTATTTATTTATTTATTTTTGTTTGTCAAGCATGTATCGGAAAACAAGTATAAATATAATATATAAACATAAGTATAAGCAGGTATACGTATATACATAAGAAATGAGTACAAATAGATGCACTTATTCACTCCCCCTTACAGACCTCTTAGGAATGGGATGAGGTCCATGGTAGACAGTTTAAGGTTAAAGTTTTGCGGGGGGGGGGGGGGTTGAGGATGTTACAACAGAGTCTAATAAATATAACTACTTAACAACTGCTGTGGAAATTATTTGAAACTACTATACCTTTATATCTTTTTTCGAGTTCTATTTTCTTGTGGCACTTTTAGTTTTGTCTATTTTTCCTTTTTGTTTTCTCTGTCCCAATTTATTAAGACAGCTGGAATTGGACAATTTTGGGATCACACCATTTACTAAGAACATGGGAAACGAAGAATTGGCATTGTTTTCATACCCAAGAGGTGTATTATCTCCCATTTTTTGTCTACCTTCTCAGCTAAAAAGCCTCTGCGGTCTATCATAATCCTTCCACCTACCATGTTCCCCTGCCTATTAGTAGGTTTATGGTGAGGCTACTTCCCTAGCTGAGGATTGATTAGACAAGCAGTTCTTGCTGTTTACTTTCCTTTGTGGTGCACCTCTTTGCTTCCTTGCTAAGGATCAACATACAGCTAAAACTCAAGCATCCCGTAATTTAAGCCTTCCTTCCGGGAGGTTAACAAGGCTAGCAGATTGCAGTAATATGAGATTTTCTGTGTGTTTTCTACTATGTCTGTGTCTGCTTTTTCTGATGGGGGGGGGTATTTCTAGAGGGGGGGGGGGAGTAAAGGAATGAGATCTGCCCCATAAAGAAATCCCTTTTGTGAGTAGTGCCATGGCAAATCACTCCTCACCATTGAAGCTTCCTTAGGGATGTCAGGGAAGGAATTCCTTGATGTTACAAGGCTTGGCATTTTATTAAACTTTTATTTTTACCTGTAATCCTCTTGGCATTCCCTCCATAAGTCTCTTTTATTATGGCTGGCACTACTGAGTCTGGCATTTAAACACAGCTGGGGGAGAAACCCAACACCTGTATTGTTATGGGGTTTTTTAACTTGTACAGTTGAACCTGATTAACTCTTCAGGAATCAACCAGCCACCAAACCAAAAAGGTGTAAAGATTTAAAAAAAAAAAAGATGTGGACAGAACAAGAAATACAAAACAAACTAAAAACAAGTAAAAGTCAGCTGTAGCAAAAAGGATACCTCAGTGAGTGTCATCACAGGAATTCTTCAGGCCAATTGATTTGTCCTTGTTTTAATTGCCGTCAATTAAAAACGAGGAGAAATAAATTGGCCTGAAAGAATCTCCAGAGGATTTACTTATTTATTCGATAGCAAAAAAAATGAAATTACTCTGTCTCAGGAGCACATCCACATTTCCAAGAGAGTCTGGGAGACAGTCCAAGGACAGAAGCAGGAAAACGGTTGTCATCCAAAGGTCGCTTTGTTTATTACAGCACACACACATCAGTGCCCATCATCCACGATCTCAACATTCCCTCCATCACGTCCCTTCATCCAGAAAAATAATTCGCTAGCGAAGGAGTTCAGTCGGTCTTTGACGTCATAAATGAAATGAGCATGCGCAGAAGACGAGGGGAGGATTTCCCTTGCACTGGGGTGTGTGTGTGTGGAACTCCTGCCAAGCGTAGAAAACAGATCGCGTACAGCCTCTCTAGGAAGAAGCACTGTGATCCAGGCTGTGCGGGGGGGGTGGGCGCAGGAAATTTTGGCGGGAACGTTTGCAGCTTCTCTGCTGAGGCGAAGAACCTCTGAGGGAGCGGAGACCGCCTTCTCTCCTGGAAACCAGGGAAAGGGGCGAGGGGAAGATGCGCCGTGACCGAAGGCGGCGGCCTTGGGGGGAGTTTCCTTCTGTCGGGCCTGCGCTGAAGCTGGAGACCGAATGGAGGCCCGTCGGCCTTCCCTTCAGGCGGGGAGCGGTGACCCGAGCTGCCTCCCGGAAGACTCGAAAGACATTTACTGAGAGTAGTGATATTACTTCCCATCAAAGGATCCATACAGGGGAGGGACCATATAAATGCCTGGAATGCAGAAAGAATTTTTTTGACAACAGTGACCTTATTGGACATCAAAGGATCCAAAGGATCCACACAGGGGATAGACTGCATAAATGCTTGGAGTGTGGAAAAAGCTTCACTCAAAAAGGAAAACTTAATTCTCACAAAAGGATCACATGGGAGAGAGACCATATAAATGCATGGAGTGTGAAAAGAGCTTTATTGACAATTGTGACCTTATCTTCCACCAAAGGATGCACACAGGGGAAAGACCATATAAATGCGTAGAATGTGGGAAAAGCTTTCGTCGGAATACAGAACTTATTCATCATAAAAGGATCCACACTGGGGAGAGACCATATAAATGTGTACAGTGTGGAAAGCAATTTACTCAGAATGTACTCGGGACATCTTACTCATCATGAAAAAATCCATACAGGGGAGAAACCATATCAGTGCATAACATGTGGAAAGAACTTTTCTCAGAAAGGAAAACTGAATTCTCATGAGAGAATCCACACAGGGGAGAGGCCATATAAATGCTTAGAGTGTGGAAAAAGCATTCATTGGAGCACAAAACTTATTCATCATGAAAGGATCCATATTGGGAAGAGACTATATAAGTGCATTGAGGGTGGACAGCAATTTACACAGAAATGTCATCTTGTTACTCATGAAAGAATCCATACAGGGGAGAGACCATATAAATGCACAGAGTGTGGAAAAAGCTTTGCTCCGACAGCACAACTTAATTCTCATAAAAGGTCCGACACAGAAGAGAGACAATATAAATGCATGTAGAGTGAAGAAAGCTCCAGCACTTTCAATAGAATAGAATAGGGCAGGAAGGGACCTTGGAGGTCTTCTAGTCCAACCCCCTGCTCCAGCAGGAGACTGTCAGGATTCCAAGTAACATCCCCAACAGAATCAAAACTCAGGCATTTACAATACATTTACTCATGAAGGAATTCAAAGTAGGGATAATCCATATGAATGCATGGAGTGTGGAAAGAGCTTTGGTCAGAAAGAACAATATAATTCTCATAAAAGGATTCACCCAGAACAGAGAATATATATGCATGTAGTGCGAAAAAGGTTTAACAATCACAAGTTATTTATTCGCGAAACAATCCAAAATGGTAAATCTAATGGATGGAGTATGGAAATAATTTTACTGGCAAAGAACATCTTATTCATCATGAACGGATCCATGCAGGGAGTAATACTTCTAAATGGACAAAGTGAAAAAGCCTCTAGTAGAATGTCTTATCTGAATTACTATTAGAGGATCCATACAGGGAAGAAATCATGTAAAGCAGGGAGTGTGGAAAAACTTTACTTGGGAACCACAATAATTCTCATAAAA